TAAAGTTTGGTTAGAAAGCTTGGTTGATTCATGGTACCAACCGAGTATAAATCGAGTATCAATCGATATCAACCGAGTACCAAACGAGTATAAATCGAGTGTTAACCGACTATCAACCGAATATCAACCGAATATAACTGCAACAACTTACGGGAATCTGTTGACGGCCACTACAGCCTGAACACCAAAGAGCCTTGCATTCTCAATCTGTTTTGCCAAGTTGCACATCCCGGCTCTCACCAAATCCAAATTCTAAATGAAAAGTAAGGATATTTTTGTCAAAGGGAGGTAGGTACGCCATGTATCTCTCTATCCCTTGTTAAGAATTTTTTTTTTCTCGTAATTTTTAGGTGACTATTTATCACTTCGCTTTTACAGTAAATTTCTTTGGCTAAAAGAGTTATGACTTACCTCTGAAACGTACTCATCTGCCAAAGGTTGACCGGCAACAACCTAAAAAAAAATAAAGACTTTGTGAACAATTCATTGAGGAATATCGTGAAACTATGAAATTTGTTTGGCAACTTGTGTTGCCCTGACGATTATAGCTTTACCRAGCAACTTGCAATTTTTTTTGTTCGAGGTAACCTGGGATCGAGAATCAAGATGGCGGACATTCGAAYTGAGAAATTGCGCATGCTCTAGGAATGGTGCAGTGTGCAATGGCGTTGCAAGTTGCTACGATGTSCTGTGAAAAGTGAACTTCTATGCTAAAGTTCCACGACTCGCAGTAGAAAAAACCTTCACGACCCTTGTGAAGCAACGCCGTTGAGTATATAAAACCAAAGGTTCTCACCTTTGGTCCTCCACCGTGCATTTTGAGAGCTCTGACAGTTGCTACAATAACAGCTGCATGTGGCATTAAACCTAACAACAAAAAAGCGAGTGACCGCTGTAAAGGGGTTCATRTTCATCAATTTCATGCTGGGCAATGTCCGTAATTACGGGGTGTCTGTAAGGCGAAAGTTGAGTGCATTTACAATGTTGATATATGATTGTTAACCGAGATCTCGTGACCGGCTGGTGGATTTCAATCGTACATTCCAACTAATTTTTCGTGTATAAACAAATTTGAGAATTTCATATTATATATTATATATTATATATTATGTTAATGTTTATTTCACCGGTAAACGCACGGATTTCGAAAATACTATAATATAAAAACAATAAACAACACATTTTCGTGCGTTCCTGGTGAAATAAACCACGCGAGATATTGGGAAAACACTCAAAAGGCTTTTAAGCAAATCCTTTCTTGTGCATTCCCAACATCCTGTGGTTTATTTCACCAGGAACGCACGAAAATGTGTTGTTTATTGCTTAATCAACAAAACCCTACGAATTGCCTAATAGTAGAATTCAACTTCTTGCGAGGGATTTCTACACAAAATATTATCATTTCTCAATAATCGATGCTGCTATTTCTTCACTCTACGTACCACTATATCTACATTTGATGTTGAAAAACTTCTCCATGCCAATGTCRGCTCCAAACCCGCACTCTGTGACTAAAAAGAAAGAACAACACTTATAAGAACTTTTCTTAATCACAAATATAAAGATGGCAACAAAATTACAGCGATAGCAAGGTTGATGATGATATCTGGATGATGATGATGATGATGAAGATACCGAAAATAGTTGATGATGATGATACGAGACGATTCGACTTACAAACAAATCCATCTTTTCCCACTAGTTTCAGCGCAATCTTGTCAGCCAAAATAGACGAGTTTCCATGAGCGATGTTAGCAAAAGGTCCAGCGTGTACAAATACTGGGGTTCCCTGGACGACATAAACGTGTACGTATAAAGTACAAGTATGAAAACAACAATGTATATTACATGATTGCAGTACGAACACTAACACTGTGCAACATAAATACCACTAAATACTGCTAAATTATGCAGATTCTATTGTTTAATTAACACTATTTTGTAGTAAACAGTGTAAAGTGTTGCATACATTTAATGTTTGTACTCTAACTAAACTTGCCAATTTGTAAAATTTTTTAAAACCGGGATGAAATACTTAGAAATATCCTTAAGTTATGTTAATGTTTTAGGGTAGCAAATCTAAAATGTYTTGTTGTAAAGAATGTTGACTAACCTCCAGAGTCTGCATCATATTTGGTTTGATAGTATCCTTCATTAATACAGCAAGAGCACCTCCGATTCCCTTAAACAAACCATGCAGCAATTTTAATAACTTTGCCAAAAAGTCACATAGACCGATATGAATTATGGGTCCAGAAAAGATGACGTCATATGATTGTATCACCAGGGGGGGAGGGAAAGMACATACCAAGTCATCGGCAGTAACAGGATCTCCTTGTTTATTACTTGCTATCACAATATCGCCAAGCCTGAAAAAATAATAAACACATTGTGATCTTTTTCAGGCAAAAAATACGAGACAAACTGGAARGAAAATTCAGTGTTCGCTAATATGTTGTACATACATTTTAATCCAATTGTCCGGTTTTCTAGTATTTTGCTTTTTCTAATTAGTTTTGACTCAGGGAGTTATACAGCAAGGGAACACTTTCGATAACATGTGAACAATGTAATGCTAACAATTGTTACCAATGRACTAACCTTCTTCTCATGTCTTTCATGTCGGTTGTAAGAGCCAGGATCGCCATGATTTCACTTGCTACAGTGATATCAAACTGACACTATCAAGACAAACCGTACATCACATTTTGATCAAATATCATACAGTATTTGTCATCATGAGATAGTCTCAAGCCACGAGAAATTTAACTCCAAACATAAGATCCCGCACTTGAAAAAGGCAATTAGTTAAATTGCTTTAAAAAATGMAGCGCAAATCTGACCCGATTTTACACTAAATGTATGTTTGTTGGGAACCTGCTAACCACTAATGCTGAATTTCTCAAGCCATGAGAAAATCAACTCCAAAAATAAGATCCCATGTTTGAAAAGGCAATTGTGCAATTGTGCGTGGAAATTGAGCGAAAATATTTACGATTTTACAGTAAATTGATATTGGTCGGGAAACTGCCAACCACTGAATGTTAATTTTAAATTTTGTAGTTTTGACAAGCCTATTTCCTAAAAATATTGTCATCGCTCGCAAACCAGAATCCATTGTGGTAGCTACCCTTTCCATAGATATATATCCTTATTTTAAAAATGAGAATATAATTCCGACAAATTTCAAATTCGTGGTAAAACTCCATTAYGGTTTAAGATCAATGAATGTGCATAATGCTGTATGATGCATGGTTATATTTCACTTTAACAAACCTCTCGAGTCATGTTCTTCTCTGTTGGTGACTGACCAATGGTGATTTTTCTCAGGAAGCGATCGTTAGTATCAATAACTAGAAAAGGTAGCAATGGTTAACAAAGTATTTAAGTGTGTGTAATACAAGTAACGTTGAGACTGACCTCTTTGAAAACCAACAGTATTAATGTCAATATCAAGTCTTGCAAACTTGCTTGCTTCCTCGGGAGTAAGCTCTGATGGATCGGTTTTGTCTATTCCTAGTTTCTGATTGATAGGCACAAGAGTATATGGCATATTAATCGTTTGATTTGTCTATAGGACAAGAGGACGCAAGCATGGATGAATGTATGGAAGGACGGGCAGAGGAACAGAGGGACGAAAGTGGACGYAAGGATTAATGGACGGATYGATCTCAACGTACGTGATGGGACATGGACAGGCAGAGAGGATGGTCAARGGAAGGGCCAACGCAGTGTATGGAGGAACACAAGYARGGATGGATGGAGGGGAAGATGACCGGACGAAGMGATGGACAGACCAACCTTCAATCTCTTCAGCATTATTTGGGAAAATGTTCTCTTTCCTTTCTGTTCTGGAACTAGACGGTTGAACAATGCCTGGACAATAGATAACAAATCATCAGTTGTTTATTCCCGACACGATCATTGAAGCTGAGCTTTGCTGAGCGTAAACTTTACGAGGTATTGTTATTTATTTTTTCATATATATCTAGCCCTCGTTGTCCGCTTTCTTGCCCCAGATCGTTGCATGGCGAACTAATAACGCATTGCTCATGTTCCAAACACCAAATATGGGATGATACTATTAGCAAAATGTTGGATGAAGTCTGAATTGAAGAATTGAAATCACCACACTTTAATCTCTCATCTCCAAATCTTAATCGAGATGTTTCCTCTATTTTTGTGATCTTACCTGGTCTTTTTGGGTTGACTCGTGGAAAACTCGGGCATCAATGGCAGCAACTGTGAACAATAACAAGCAATCAATCAAATTATCATAAAGACCAGTGTACTTAAGCGATAACTAGTTGCTCACCCAACAAGTTATTTGCAGCGGTAATGGCATGAATATCTCCTGTCAGGTGAAGATTGAACTATCAAAAAAAACAAAGATGAAATATTTCGTTACATCATGTTTCCATGTGTAATATCATGAGGGTAAGTTTGAATACAGCTTTTCCAAAAAAATGTTTTGAGAAAGCATGAAAGGCGACGAGGATACTGATGAAAATTGGTTTGTCCGTTTTCTTGAACAGACGAGTGACATGATGAATGAGTATATGTCATAGTGTATCATGAACATGAAAGTATTTGTTTCACAGATTTAGTTTGAGAACTACAGCAWTATCCCACTGATTAACAAAAACGCGTACGTTAGATGTTATGATGCGTTTTAAGAATTATCTCTTACCTCTTCCATGGGAATCACTTGGGAATACCCTCCTCCTGCCGCTCCACCTTCACAAATTAAAAAAACAAAAATACAAAAATGAATCAATCAGCAAACACAAAAACGGACCTTTTGCCATGAACAGTTATATAATTATGGAGCAAGGCGGAGAAAGAGTTAGGAAAGGCAGGACGCGTTGTACAGCACATATTACAGTGTCCTCTAAGCAATGGAYCTACTTCAAAATGTTCATGGAACTTTCATAAACATGCTTTAGAGTTRATTTGGGATTTTACTGATGGCACCACAAATACCTTTGATACCAAATGTTGGTCCCTGTGAAGGTTGTCTTATACAAGTGAAGCAATTCTTCTTGAGATGAGCACCCATGGCTTGCGACACTCCAACGGTYGTGGTACTCTTGCCTTCTCCAAAAGGAGTTGGTGTAATACTAAGTATAAACAAGAAGGATTTTAGGTGTTTATACTTCTCTCTAGCTWACCTGTAAACCTTAAAAAGTAACTCGGTTTACATGGTTCGTTTAGAAACAACAGATAATAGAAAGAATAAATACCCCCTATTAATGCTGTCAATATAACTTCATTTAGAACCCATACTGCATTTGATTTTAAAAAAATGATTCTCTCACTACCAATAATCTACCGGTCTTTCACGGTATCGAGTATATAATTTTTATGACGGCGACAGTATTTATATTCCTGCATTTGGGCAACTACCCAACAAATCACTGCGATCATACACGTTTCAGTCATGTTATCAGTCGTTGGACTTACCCTGCAACAACAACATATTTGCCATTCTCGACYTCCTTCAGTCTTTCCAAGACACTAAGTGAGACTTTAGCTTTGGTACGGCCATACATTTCCAACTACAAATTACTAGAATGTCTTAATCTCAATACGAGATAACAGATTAACTATACAAATAGGAAAGTAGTGATACAAGTCATTCTCACCTCATTTCTCTCCAGTCCAATCTCTTTCCCAAGTTTTTCAATGTCTTTAGGTAAATGCGACCTGGAAATCTCCATGTCCCTTCATAAAATGAAAGACAAAATTCACTTATTTYTGTATTAGTTCAAGATTTGAGCCTTTGAACCGGTCCTAGCCTTTGTTGCTCCCGGAATTTTCAAGAGGAATGGTAGATGATACTGATCCTTGCATGTCTACAAAATGAGCGTGGCTTTCCCATCTTTTAATTCAAAAGATTATGAGCAAGAGCTGCACGAATACCTTCTGTATTACAAGTAATGCCGCAAAAACTGAAGACAAGTCATATCAAGCTACGACTGAATTGAACGCTCATAAAATCAACAAAAGAAGAAAAATGATGATGTTGTGAGAGAGTGAAACACTGTTCACTTGGAAAGAAAGCAAAAAAAACGGGTTTAAAATTTCATTAATCCTTAGAATATTTTTTAATACATTCTGTAATTCTTCCTTTGCAATATACGTCACAGTGGCCATCTTGGAAAAAGTTTAACAAAGGATTTCTCTTGATGTATTGTTCATCCAGCCAGCATGGCAGCCGGTCGTTTGAATCTTATCAAAAAAATGCCATTGGAAACGAGCAATAAGTATTAAAAAAAACCGCAGAAAATAACATCTTTTAATCCTTTCACACTCCGTGACTTTTTTTCTGGGATGAATTATTGATGGTGTCATGTGCTTACCTCGGCACGGGTTGTTTTAAMTCAAGTGTTAGATAAGTGATATCCCACAAGCCAGCCTGGCGATACAAACGTATGAATTCAAGATTTTGACGTCGGAGATTCAGGGTTAAGGACGTGCCTGCGTTGCTGTTAGTCTGCGGCAATATACATGGCAATAGTAAAATAGCATACACGCAGCAAAGGTAATAGTTCCCTTTTGAAAGGAAACTATGAAAAGAGAAGGATAAAACAAGCAAGACAGCTTGAAGGCAAACAAAATATTGAGGACTCTGGTAACAGAATAAATGTATCTATTTCAAGGACTAATTGTGATTTTTTTTCTTTTTGTGTTGAAACCGAACAAGACTGACTTTTCTAATATAACATTGCGGTCAGGGGTTCACTTTTGGGTTTCTCCTAAACCCACTCGGTGCGGATAGAAACGCCTGTAGGCTAAAAATAACAGTATTTCTTACTTTTTCTTAAGATCACGCGAGAAATGATAATCATGTGATCTGAAGGCGTCATTGCGCCGCATCACAACTGAGCCCAACTTTGGCTGCCAGGCAATTCTCTCTTTCACCCTATTTCTTTAAGATTGTTTTGTTACTAATTACACATTTAAAAAGATTTTCTCTACAATTGATGTCAACTCAGTGCTTGATGCATTGTTCACTGAATTCAATGCTRTATTTGTGCGCTTTTTGTAGTTATTTCTYTTCACAAATGTTCAAATTCCAACTTATCTAAATTRACTATGTTTTTGAGTCTCCATGTACATSGCGTAGAGTATTCTCCRMGMRCRTRC